TTATTAAAATGTAGTTTTAGCTCATTAAGCCTCATTTTTTATTTTGTTAATTTATGTTGATATACATATATATGTATATATATACCTTCATTTATATCGCTATACATGCAAACCTACATTAACAAAAGAGAAAAGGAGATGATTAAGGAACCAGAATTAAATATGCAGTATACATTTATATATACACACATGTATGTGTATACATCTGTATATATGCAAATATATGTATATGTAAGTATTTTATATAACCAAAAATGACCAATACATTGAAAGACTCCAAAAATACGTACAATGAACCACAGCTGTGGATGTCTTTCCTCTACAAGGGAATGGGTTGTTAATGTCTTCTCATATCTCTTCTTTGTAGGTATAGTTGTTCTTTGTAATTTTGCAATGTTTACTTTTGATCTCTTTTTTTTCTCTTTTTATTTGCATTGTTGTAGTCATCTATTGTTATACATGTTTCTTTGGTTATGTTTATGTCATTCTGTATCATTTCATGTAAGTCTTTTCATGCTTCTCTTCAATCATATTAATTATTTCTTGTAGTAATATTACATTATATTTATGCACTAAAATTTGTTTATTCTTCAAACAATGAGGATCCAGTTTCAAAAGGTGATATGGGCATGTTTCTGGCAGTATGGAAGCAGCCAATTGAATAAATTATTAATAATTTATAAATTATATTAATTAATTATACAAGACTAGTGCCAGAATAGAGATAATAAAGGATGCAATGTGCTAGAAAATATGGGATAGAAAAAGGATCTTTTGACTTAGGATTAGCTCAGATTAGGTTGTTTTATAACTTTACCCCTTATTGTCCCCAGCATGCACACATGTTGACTGGCACAGCTCTTTCCCTTGTCCTGTGGTCAGGAGTCAGCATGGTGAGTGACTATATGTTTTAGCCTTAGAGAAGAAAATGGGGGAAAAGAGACTCTTCCAGGGGAAGTACAGCTTGGTTTTAATGTTGGGGATAGATTAGGGACTCTAGGGAAGTCTTTTTAAGTTTTTTCATCTTTTTTCTCCAGGTGTTTCATATTGCCAAGCATGTGGCTAGAAAGTCTTCATACAGAAAGTATAAAACAATATTTATCTTTGATAAATGTTATGTTCTATTTGTTTCAATGTTCTAACATGAATTTTTCTAATACAAAGTTTTTCCATCCTAATTCCATCATCTCATGTGTGATGTATATAATGTATAATGTATAATTAAGTATAATGTCTACTTAAAATATCACACATCAAGTATCTATATCTTTATTCAAGTCAATGATAAAATTGATAAGTAGTATAATTTAAAGTACAAATTTCCGGGATTTATCACTTTGATTCAGTTTAAAATAACTATTCTTTTTCCATCAACATTTGATCATTTCTTAAACCCTTCCTAATGTTTATTTATAGGTCAGAACTCTCTTGTGTCTACAAAGACATAAGAAGAGTCACTGTCAAATACATTGCAAAAATCTAGCTAAATATTATCCACAGCATGTCCTGCATCTGTGAGTCTCAGGAAATACTAAAAAAAAATAAAGAAAATAACATGACTTTGCATGTGATGACATTTAAAAATTAAATTTCATTTAATGTTTTTACTCATCATCTTGTTTTTCTTCTTGCCATCCAATTTCCCCCTCAAAAAGAGCAAGGAATAGGTTTAATCAAGGAAATAAAGTTGACATAGTGACCAGGTCCAAAATATGTGTCTCATTCTTTACGTTAATATATCACCACTCTGTCAGGAGGTAAGAATCATAATCAGGATAGTATATCTTATTATCTAGGTTCTTTTTTAAATCTTTTCTTTCATTTATCAGAGATTATTTAATGTCTTCAAAATGCTGAGTTTATTTTTATCAGAGAGGAAATAGAATGAGAAATTCCATTTAAATAAATAGAGAAAGCATGAAACACTTGAGAGTCTACAAAAACACATACAGGAACAATATAAATAGAAAAAAATATTCTTTACAGAAATGAAGGCATGTTTAATAATGTAAAAAAGGTTACTGCTAATAGGTAAATTGTGTCAGCATGCTAAACATAGGATTGCTATCTAAAATAAACATTTATTCAATGATTCACTAATCTATGATTGAAAGACCCACAATATCTGCCATCACCCTGACTGCATCTTATCTTGGACTCACCTTACAACATGATTTTTTTTTCTTTGACTGATGTCCATACTCAGAGTTTACTCTTGAGAATGTACGGTTGAGGTCTAAGTTTTTGCAGATGGAACAAAAATGTGTTCCCTTCTTCCATCCAGACTCTAAAGGTCCTAAATTTATTGCAGGTGTAAAATGTTCTTTATTTCATCACATAGAAAATGAAGAATCCAATTGTAAGATATAAAGAAATTCCAGGTACTCATACATAAATACAGAAAACAGACAAAACATTTAAAGGTATCACAGTAACAGACAGATAGATAGATCCCTGCTGCTTACCACACTGCCCAGCACAAAGTACATACTTAAAAAATGTTTATTGCTTGAGACAAATTTGGGATTAAAGGATAAGGCAATTACATGGGTTCAGTATTGGATAGGTATCTAGAATCACATAATAGTTTTTTTTTATTTGTTTTTTTTTTGGTTAGGCAATGGGGTTAAGTGACTTGCCCAGGGTCACACAACTAGTAAGTGTTATGTGTCTGAGGTCAGATTTGAACTCAGGTCCTCTGGAATCTAGGGCTGGTACTCTATCCACTGCACCACCTAGCTGCCCCCACACATAGTAGTTTTTAATGTTTCAATATAACATGACACTAAGCCCACAAAAGAGTAACCAGATGTGTACTAATCAACAATTTTTACTCAATGACTTAAATAAATTATAGATGTTTTATCTAATTTGAAGATATCACAAATATAGGAGTGATAACTTGCGAACTCTATTACAGATTTCAGATATAAGAGGACTGTGGCAGCCTAGAACATTGGATAAAATTGAACTAAGATAAAATCCTATAGGGATAAGTGTAAGGTCTTTCACTTATGTACAAAAAACAAAGTCACCTTCACAAGTATAAGATAAGGGAGGACACCACTTTTTCTGAAGAAGTTCTGACGCCTTTAGCAAAATACTTAATCATGTCAGCAGCTAAGAGACCTAAAGTTTCCTTTTGCTACATTAAGGTGAATTTAACTTCAAGGAAATGGGTTGTGAGGTTCCTACGCTACTCTGCCCTAACTAGAACCTGTTGTATATGTTGTGCTCAGTTCGGTCTGACACAGTTTAAGAAGAATATTGATAAGCGAGAGAAATGATTATTTCTCTCCTATATTAATAGCCAATTGTTGAATTAGGACTAAGCTTTTCCCTCTTCCTTTTCCTCATTTAGAAATCAGCCCCTGTAGGTTATTCAGTCAGCCTTTGAAAGGCAGGTCTGTTAAAGAGATAAAATCTTAGACAGATGAACCTTACTGGGAAAATTCAAATCTGTTCAAAAAGTAAAGAAATTTTAGTTCAGATGAATTGATGGATTTAGGCCCATTGTATTTTATTTGCACAGTTTTGGGTAAAAGTGGATTTCTCTTTTGTCTAGATTACCCTACATGGGATGATTTGGGTATAGAGAAGGCTTTTTAACCAAGACTAAGTGATCAGAATCATGTCCCCCAGACCCTCATTAGAATGAACTCTCCTTTCATTATAATATTCATTCTCTCTTTGCTTGTTAACTAATCAGGGTTGATTTCCACCCTCAGGTGCACCCCCTTTTCCAAAGGCTTTACAAGTATTTAAGGTTCCACAGGTTAGGTCTCTTTGGTTATTGAGAGGTACAAATGAGCCTATTTTGTTCACTACTTGTTAGCTGTAATTAATAAAATTGATTACAATTTACTTAGCAACTCTGTCTCAGAAATTTGTACTCATCACATAAGCTGGAGAGTATCTGGAAGAGGCCCAATAGAAGGGCAGAGGGCCCTGAGAACATGTCCTGAGATTACAAGCTTAATTTGAAGAAGGCAGTGAAGATGTTTAGCCTGGATAAGAGAAGATAGGGTGTATGTGCAGGGAAAATTGCTGTCTTGAAGTATCTGAATGGCTGTAAGGTGGAAGAGCGATTGTGTTGACTCAGTTTGTTCCCAGAGGTCAGGACCAAGAGCAAAGAGTGGAAACAGGAAAAAGGTAAGTTTCCCAGCAACTTAAAAATTAGAACTGTCCAAAAGCATGAAGAGCTTCCCTGAGAAGGGCTGCATTTCTTTCCTCAGAGATCTTCCAGCAGAGGCTATATGGCCCTTTGTGGCATATGTTAGGCTTGGGAATCCTTTTGGGTATGGGTTGAACCAATGATCTCAAAGGATCATCCCAACTCTCATTTCTGTGATCTTGGAATTTGGGATGGGGATACAACACACTCATAAGAAATAGTCACCTAGTGGAATTAAAATTGGTATTTGCTTATCTCATTGACCTGTGAATGGAGCAGGGTAAAAGGATGATGTAATGTCATAGTGACCAAGTTGATCCATGAGACTGTTACAAAGTTTACAATGAGAGTTCTACCTCACAAGAGATCCAATACTGATACCTTCACAAGGCAGTCTCCTATGTTCAACTATTGTGAACGTGCCATGAAGACATTATGTCAGAAAGAATGGGGAGATTGGAGTTTGAAGGAGTTTGATCAGATCTAAAGATATTCTAGGATTCCAGCCTGGAAGTGGATTTATACTTTACTGCAACACTGAGAACTGTACTCTCAATTACCGTGGAGTTGCTCAGGGTATGGTTGTCTTGGACACAGTGGCCAATATAGAAAAGATCTTAGTTGAGAAACTAAAGGAAAATAATCTGTATTGCCTGAAAGTAATTTGATCCTAGGCCTCCAGACCTGTGTTCCCCCAGCAATAGAATGAGGGCTTTAAAATTCCCATTCTCCTGTATTCGTTCCACTGCTAAAGTTCCCTGTTGCTATTGTTCTCTAGGTGTCTGGTTCTAATTTTGGATTCAGAGAGAGACAGCTTGTTCATCCCTCAATAAATGCAGTAGGACCTAGTGAACCAGGTGTTACTGTTGAGGAAAATAAAGGGGCAAACTGTTGGGAAGCACAAAGAAAGAAAAGCAGAAATGTTAAGTACCACGGGACTGGCTACTTTAGTCAGAGTCATATCAATCATAAACATGGAACTCGTTAAGTTAAAGATTACAAAGGAGCTGGCTAGGAGCAGGATCTTTTTTGTGACTCGGGCTTCTGGGGAGCTTCTGTGGGACGGATTGGTGACTTGAATGTTTTGCATTCGCTGGTGGTGCCTGTAGAGGACAAATGCCATATAACTACTGGTAATGGCAGTAAGACACACAAACGCACTATCATAAATAAACTTCCAGATGAGGAATATTACAGTCCTGATGGCATAGAGGTCTAAAGCACTAAAGCCAATTTGCCATCTCCCATTACTGTGTGTTGTATTGCTTGAACTAGTACCATACAGAGGTACTACTATATCCATCAGAAGATTGCAAATCCAGCAGAGTAGACAGCAGGGCAAGACATACTTTGGAACTCTTGCTTTGAGCTCCGCCCACATGGGACTGCTGGGACTGATGGTGATGGCCTGGAAGACACTCAGGAGGCAGGTGCTGCAGAGGGAGAGGCCTCGGCTTGCTCTTTGCAGGTAAGATAGGATTTTACTAGCAGTATAATCCACAAAATATTTTAACTTCCAAACTTCAATTATTTTGGGGATTCCCCTGAAAAGAAGGAACATTATATTGATCAAGAGTAAATGGATGAGCATCAGGATTATAGGTTTTGTCTTTTGACCTGTGCTGACCTTAAAACTGAATAGGAATATGAGGAAAGAGTTCCCTAGAATCCCAATAGTAATTTGGCTGAGATAGAGAATTTTAAGAACTTCAAAATGAAAAGTCATTCTTTAGATGTCTTGGGAAGAAGAATTTCCATCAGATCCAAAGTAACCTGGGAGAAACAAGGACATTATCACAGTTAGTGACTCAAGGTTTCTCAGTGGAATTCCATACTATCCTCTCTGCAGAGGGGAAAGGGAAGCGGGATCAGAAATAAGTGTGTGGGGCTCATTGATCCACCAGCAGTATTTATTAAGTACTCGCTTTGGGAAATTGTAGTAACTCATGTTTAGATAATGTTGGACTGTCCAGACCCAGTACTTACATTTCTATTCACATAAAACTTTGAAGCTCATGCAAATGTTCTAAACTAGGCTCTGGTTTGTAAACCAGATCAAGAAGAGATAGACTTTTGATTCACTGCTGAGTTAGAACTGGCAGATATTAAAAAAAAAATTTAAAAAACCCACTAATTTGACAAATCAAGCATCTTTCTTCCTCCTGCTTGGCTCATTGTAGTAATAAAGTCATGTATGAGACTCTTAATGGGAAAAGGCCATAGGCCCTCCCCACTAGTGGCCAAATTGGATACTGGCTGTCATTTAAAGGTATCAATCCAATCTGTGTGTATATGTTTGTGTGGGTGTTGGGAGGTGGTACAGGGAGTTGACAGATGTCCTAGTAACCTTGCCCTGTTAACTACTTTTTTTTTTTTGCTTTTTAGTGAGGCAATTGGGGTTAAGTGACTTACCCAGGATCACACAGTTAGTAAGTGTCAAGTGTCTGAGGCCGGATTTGAACTCAGGTCCTCCTGACTACAAAGCCAGAGCTCTATCCACTGCGCCTCCTAGCTGCCCCTGTTAACTACTTTACACTCTGTGCTTTCTGTCCAATTTCCATTGACATTCCAGACTGACAATGTCTTAAGATTTTCCTTTGAGTCCTTGATTTGGAGCCCACTTATTTTGCCCAGATGATGCCCAAGTCATCTTCAGAGGAGTAGTTAGGTCCTGCCTCTGACACATACTGATTGGGTGGCACCAGAAATAGCTAACAGTTCTGTCCTCCAGTAAAATGGCTGACTATAACTTGTAGAAAAGTTGCTGATCTGCATTGATGGATAGAGTTTCCTTACGGTGACTTCCTAACATGGGTGAAACCCACAAATATGGTGTAAAGGGTTATTTTGATTCAAAAGGATAAGCATTTTGAAATCTGTTTGATATTTAGAGGGAATGAATTGTCAATGCATCAAAATACTCAGCAAGTTAAGAACTAAAAAGAAAATCTTAATGATACAATTATCTCCAGTTTTATTGGATGTACATGTCAGGTTTAAAAAAATCCATGAAACTGTAGATCTCTATCTAGTAGGAATTATTAATTCTGTTAGAAGGTAGATTGGATTTTATAGTACACAGTACAATAGTTATCTACACCTAAACTTTGGAAATAATGGCCATAAAATATTTCCTTTCGTCCCCATCACTTACTCTTATGAAATAAGTGTGCATGTTTTTTATTTTTCTTCATTGATTAATCAGTGGAAGCTGTTTCCCACCTTGGAGGCTCTGAAACAAAGAGTGAGTTTAGTTAGTTTAGCTTAAAAATCAAGGATTCTTGACCTGGAAACAACAGATCCCTGAAAGGGACTGTGCATAGATTTGGGGGGAATCTATAAAGATTTTTGGGGGAAAAAGTACTTTTTCATTTGAATTTAATTGGATTCTTTACTAATCTCATGTATTTGATATTATACATTTCCAAAAAGTATTTAAGAATTGGTCCACAGACTTCACAGGACTGCCAGAGGGGTCCATGACCCACAAAAGTTTAGAACTCCTGTTATAAACACTAGTGAATGAACTTACTTTCTTAAACAGGTCAAAAGCACTTTTGACTTTTCAATATGACTTTTAGGCCTAAATTTCAGAAAGATCAAAGAAAAGGGAAAATATCTCATACATCCAAAAATAGTTTGGCACTTATTTTTCTGATGACAAGAACAAAAACAAACAAACATGTTGGTTATGATCTATTTATATATCCTTAGCTTCTCTCCTAATCCATCATCTTGTATCACTAACTTCATTAGTAGACATCTCATAGGTATTTCAAAGTCAACACTCTGTATCTTTTCCACCAAACCCTCTCAACTTCTCAAGTATCCTATTAATGTTCAGAGTAATGCCATCTTCCTAGTCATATAGACTCGCAACATTGGTATCAGTCCCTGACTCTTTTCTAGAATTCACTGCACATATGCACTTTGTGGCTAAATTATATTCTTTTGAACTTTACATCTCTCATATATATCCCCTCTTCTTTATTCATACAGCCATTAAGTTGGTGTGGTTCCTCATCACCTCTTGCCTGGATTATTTTAATAACCTATTGGTTATTTTCTTGCCCTTATGTCTCTTCCCACTCACATCCACACTCCATGCACCTGCTAAAGCGATGTCCCTTAAACTCAACTGTAGCAATGTCACACTGTATTCACCACTCACTAAACCCTAATGATTCCCTATTACTTATAGGATCAGGTATAAAATTCTCTGTTTGCTTTTTAAAGTTCTTCACAAGCTGGCCTCTTCCTAACTTTCCTTACACTTGATCCTTTTGATACAGTCCATGATCCGGACAGCCTGTCCTCTCTGTTCCTCTTTTTCACTATTGATCTGTGGAGATCTCTTCATGTTCACCTCCTGTGTTCCCTGACTTGCTTCAAACCTCAGCTCAAATCCCATCTTCCATGGTATCCCTTAACAAATAATCCTTATTCCCTGCTGCTAATATCTTCCCTCTAAGATTACTGCCGGTATGTTTCAGAAATGTAACTCGCAGCCAAGTGTTCCCGCCCTCAAAGCTGGCTCTCTTGCCAGTCCATCATGTTGTCTATCTATAGTGGTTCTTTTCCTTGATTTCTCATTTTTTGTGTTTGTTTCCTTAAATAAGTTTATTCTGCTAATTTTTTTCTTTTAAAAACTCATGATCTCTAATTTTTCTTTTTCTAGTAATAATAAAATATTTTGCAAAATCTCACAGAATATTATAATTTAATGATAGAGAAGTTGCATCTATACCATAGTGCAACCCAGTATCTGAAAGGAATCCCACAGCATTTCTATGCCTGAAAAATTGTTGAATGACTTTAATTTGAAGATATCTCGGGAAATAGATGCAACATTTCACTAGGCAGCCCAATCTACTTTTTGACATATTTAATTGTTAAGAAATGTTGGGGAACCTTACCCTTTCTTGTTTAGGGATCATAGGAGGAATAGCTATGTAGGAAGACTTTTCACATATAATCAGTAATGCTCAAAGAAATCAGTTGTGGACATCTCTTCCTTCATTCAGTCAGAGGCAAAAAAGAACATGGTTATTGTGAGGAAATTGTTTTGGAAAACTTAAAGTGCTGAAGAAATTTCTGCTCCTATGAAATAATATGTCTATTTCCTTCCTGGAAACACAGAGGATGCAGTTTTTAAAACTTTTATATTCTTATCAGGTTCAATTTGGCATTCTTAGTTTTTGCTCTTTTCTCTTTTCAATCCTTCATTAATTTGAGATTGTCATTGCTGTGAAAACAGGGACTTAGTTTATCGGACCTGTGATTTCCTCCATTCCTTTGCAAACAGTCTCTGCAAACAGATGAGGTTTAATGGATACTTGTGAAAAATGCTGTGTACCCCATGTCTGCCAGGTGATTGCACCCAAAATCTGGTTTTCTATAAGCACATTAGACCATTTTTCTTTTCCCAATGGAAATTCTTTATGTAGCTCTTTTTAAAAATAAATGTAATTTATAAGCATGCCTGGAAAATAGCAATGAGAAAATCTTAATTAATTCTGGCTCCTGTAGTACCTAACTCTCTTCAAGGCCAAACGCATGCCACTTTGTACAACAAAATTTTCCTCTTCTCAGTTTTTGTGCTCCCTCTCACATCCAAATCATTTATATTCACCTCTTGTAAATTTTAATTATTGGCTGACATATTGTTCCCCCTCCTCAATGTCTCTATCACTTAGTTTTTGTATCCTCAGCAGCTAGCATAGTTCCTGGCCCACAGTAGATAATAAATGCTTCTTCCAACTAAGAACTTCACTTTAAACATGTCGATGCCAAACCAAACAATATCTGCAAATATATAGTGACTTCACAGATATTTCCAACTCTGCTTTATATCAACCTACCTAATATGAGGCAAGAATGTTTCCCATAACTCCTGACTTAAATGATTTGAGAAACACTGAAATGATATGGTTGTAATGAGAGTGTTTCAGCTGACCCATCCTTGCAACCTGGCAGAGACCCCTGAGAGATACTTTTGAATTGCCAACATCACTTTTTCTGTTATCAAAGCATAGGGATAAAAAAATCCCAGAGCCTTTTCTTTCAAAGTGAAGGGAAACATAGTTAGAAGGAACTCTAAAGGCTTTCTGGTCAATTAGCTTCTTTTTGCCAATGAAGAAACTGAGGCCACAAGAGAAGGGAATTATTTGAGGTCATGTGAGTGGTAAATGGTAGAACCAGAATTTGAACCCATGTCTTCTGATCCTTTTTTTATGACGTGATTCACAGACAGACATTGCCCCCAGCCTGTTTGCCTTCTCTGTAAAGACTCATTTATAAAGTAAGGGAATACATTAAACACTGCTTTATGACAGTCTTTAAGTGCCTTGGAGCACAGAGGATGCTGCACAGTGCCAGAGGGAATAACAATGGAGGGGGAGATTAAGGACAGGAGAGTGAAGACTAAGTAGAGGAGAGACATAAAGAGGACTTACTGAGCTTCATACATAAAAGAAAAAAAATCTATCTTCCTTTAAAGAGGATGGGCCACTGTATAGTAGGTGTGAGTGCTGATGGACAGTGCACACAAATTGTAGTAATGAAGACCAGAGGTAAAGTCCTGCAAGGATGCTAATTAGCTTTGTGATTTTGGATAAGTCACTTAACTTCTTTCTCAGTTTCCATGTATGTAAGTGAATATAATAGATGCATGTACCTTGCATAGTCATTGCATGTGTTGAAGCAGATACTATAGGTAATGTGCTG